GAGAGAGAGAGAGAGAGAGAGAGAGAGAGGATGGTTGAAGTTTCCTAGTCTGTTGCACTGTGGAAAGTTATTGATTTCATCAGTCTTTTATATGTATACATATATATGTATATATTATATAAAAGATTCGCAATGATGGGATATAGCTACTGTGCGGACTATAATGCATGCATTTGCGAGCTTTTACTTATTACATGTCGGCACACACGCATATCATGCATGAATGGAGTCTCATTGGACTTGTAATCTGATTACAGGTGGGTGGCAGAGGAGGACCAGATTGTGAACTTCCCCACTGTAAGAATGAAGCGAAGAATGCCCATCAGGGTGAGAAGGAAGACCTAATAATATCATGCAGTCACCAAACCCTCAGTTCTTTGTAAAATACATTTTTATTCTCTTCAGATATTTATAGGTACATGTACAGGTTCTCAATCAATTTAGATAATATATTCTATAATTTTACAAAATATGTTTTTGCTATGTCAATATTTTGTTCTCACCTTATGCCACATAAGGTGTGTATTTACATCCTTGATATGAGAATACTATCCCAAGAACCATTCATTCAATTTCTTAGATTATGATAAATATATTATCATTTTTAATACTCCTTACCACATAACAGTCAATTTCAATGTGCTTCGCATGCTCAATAAAATATTAGATTTGATGCAATATACAATATGTCTGATTGTCATAATATAATTTGGCAGGACCAAAATTGTCAATCTATAGATCTCGTAAGTGATATGTCAACCAAGTAAATTCACAAGTGATTGTTGCCATAGCTTCTTTATATTATTTTTATGAGAGAAGTCCTAAGAAAAGCATAATATATAAAAGTTAATCTTCTTCCTGTTGAACAACCTTCCTAATCAGCATCACAATATCCAGTTAAATTTAGATCATTATTTGCTTAAAACAATAGTTCTTGTCTTGACATTCCTTTTAAATATCGCAGAACACGAATTACTTGAACAAAATATGATTTTCTAGATTGATGCATAAATTGACCGGCGAGATGTGTTCATGTAACACTTGTGATTGATTATTATTGTTTGATTCTACAGTTGAGAAAGGACATATGTGTTCATGGAAAATAACATCTCGACTTGTGAATATTCGTTTAATCGTTAAATCATAGGCATTATAAGCCTTTTGACCTAAGGGATATCCGATAAATTTATATTTTTGAGCATCAAATATAATTTTTGGGTTGAATATTTATAGCATGACATAAATAACCAAATACACGTAGATGATTATAAGTAAACGATCGATTATAAAAGATTTCAAAGAAAAGTTATAGGTAAAAGGTCAATAAGGTAAGTATATGTTAGCACACTCTCCCCCCCCAAAATGATAATGAAAATTTTGACTGAAATTTTAGGGTTCGAGCTATATTCAAATACAACAATGTTTACATTTCGTAACTCCATTATGTTGCCATGTAATGAACGACAAAAAGGAATAGACTAACCTATAATATTTGCCTTTGATTGAGTGTTACCATTGCTTAAGAGGGCCGAGAGTAGTTGATATTATTCATGCATGAAAGTTAGAGCATATGATCGCAAGTTATTGATAGATGCTTCTATTCTATCCAGGAGGAAAGCTAAGCAAATGATAGTATCTATAGATGGTGTGATTGTTCCCATTACAGTGGCTATAACGAAACAAAAATTATTTTGCTTTATTTGATGAGTTGCTACCAAGATTATTGTTTTCAGAACTTGCCATCATGATCTCTTTAGAAACAGTCAATTCTCGTCGTTTTTTCTTCTTGGAGAATCATGGAATAAACTTTTTCGATAACAGAAAATGATTGCATGAGGAGAATTTAGCAGCATATGAGTCATTTAAACTCATGAGAAATTGTATTACCTTTCTCCTTTGCTCTCATTGCTCAACTTTCTTGATTGCACCACATGTACAGACAGATAGATACTCATATATGAAAAGTTCATCATCCCAAACCCCTTTAATTTAGTGAAATAGACGGCGATAGACATTCAACCTTGTTGTAGTGAAGCAATGTCCTTTTCAATTTGAAATATTCTAGTTGCATTATTTTGTGAAAATCTTTCCTTCGGATCAGTCCAAACTTTAGTAACAGAATCAACATATATAACACTATTAGCAAGATCAGATTCAATGGAGTTGAGGATCCAAGGAAATATTTTTGTCTGTTGACAATGATCACTTGATTGATCCATTAATGAAACTTGTTTTGTGTTTGGCATTAAAAGCTATACTTATTGAATGACTCCAAGTGCTATAGTTATCAACATACAATAGTTTTCTAACCAATATCACTCCTAAATAATCTGAGTGATGAAGAAGAAGAGAGTCCGAAGGATCTGCAAAAGATGAAGTTATCATATTATAAATATCTTACTAAGATATACATCTTTCAATATTCAATAGTTTACTAACTAAGATCACTCTTGAATAATCTGAGTAGTGAAGAAGAAGAGAGTCCGAATTGACCTACAAAAGATGAAGTTATCATATTATAAATATCTCACGAAGATATTATTACAACTTCCTCCTCTAGAAGTAATGTAGCGTTTGTGGCTTCATCACATATCATGCGTCAACAAGAGCAACTTCATATGTGTAGACGATGATTATGGCATAACGATAATACATAATAAATAATGGATTCTAAACTATTTTGGTGGCTCGGATATCATGTAAAAATAAAATTTCATTCAACCCTCTTCAAGTATTTATAGATATATGTATATGGTCCAAATCAATTTAAATAATATATTTTTTAAAAAATTTTATAAGTTATATTTTATTATATTAATATTTTATTTACACCGATATATTTACATTATATCACATAAAATCTCATCATGAGAATATTATCTAACAATCATTCATTCAATTTATCATATTATAACGAATATATCATCATTGTTAATAATAGTCTTCGGTGGGAACTGAGTTGGAGGAGGAAAAAGGCATGCAAAGTCATCATAGCTTCATCCCCTCATCTCATATGATTGGGCTAACATCAGCACCACCATCGCTGCCTTGTCAACTTGAAGTGGGACACACTCGAGAGTTCCTACAGGATGATGGTGTGCAGAAAGTAGAAATGGAATCCATACAACACAGATACAGGATCACACAGCCCAAAACACAAAAGGAAATACGAGTGTGGAGAGAGCTTAGGCTTTGACCAGAGAAAGCTGCCTCCCGGGAAGAATGAGTTTTGGATCTTTGAGGCAGAATGCAGGGCCTGGAATTCAAACTTTTGGCTGCAGCTGCTGACAAAGTGGGAGTGGAGAGGACACTGCAGTGTCTTCCATCTTGGTAGCTAAGATTCAAAGAGGTCCCAAGGGCTCCAGAGTCCAAACCCCCGGGCTTATCTCCTCACATTGATGTGGATGTGGTGAGATGTGGAGCCAATACATTATTGAGGGATAAGGACAACTCATTTTGAGATGCATCAAAGTCCATCTACTTTGAAAACATGGATTCTCTCAATCTTGCAGTTTCACACAACTTTTCTGGGTGCCCACCTCTTCTTTGTACAGCCCTCAGGAAAAATAACTCAAGGTGCCAAAGTTTGACCAAGTTGGCCATCATGTCCTTGTTCCAACTCAAGAGAAAATTAAAGAGTTGGTTGGTCATCTTGACATTGACTCATCCATTATGAGTGTTGGATTGAATGATGTGATTCTCCCCCTTGTAGTGTATTGAAAACATGGATATGTTCTTCTCAATTCATCAATCATTGCACCTTCAAAGTATTCAGTCCCTTGTTATGTGAAGATTTATGGATGTATTTTGTGCCACACATCAAAGTGTTATGACAGAATTAATGAGTTAATATATGAAATAGTTTACAAGAGATGAATTGATGAATTAATCAGTCCCTGTGTTGTGACTCTTTTCTATAGGCATAGATACAAGAATAAAAAAAGGAAATACAGAACTAAGAAAACACACAATACTATCAAATTACATATATAATGTGTTCCATTTGAGAAATAATATTATGGTAATAGATTTTTAACCTTACAGAGATGAATCTTCAGTCAAGATTTATAATTTTTAATTAAAATAAATTTAATTTCTTGCATCTTTTCTATATTTGATTCTTTTTTCTAGATGTTGACATATGATAGTTTATTACATGTGTCAATTATTCCTGAACTAATTAAATTTATTTTATTGATTGATGATCAATTATGCTCTTAATAGGAGTCTTGACATTTTATTAAGAGAATTTTAATATGCTATCCATATAATCTTTAAAATATTGTTATGTGGAATTCAGGATCAACAACCAAAATGAATCTAATCAATATAAAATTCTAAGATATGAGACAAAAATAGTATTCAATGCCCAACCATTTCAGTAAACCATATGATCAAGACATCAAAATTATAAATCTAGTCATTGCTACAGTAGTTGTCCAAGAAAGCATTTAGCTTTCAGTGGCATATCCTTTTAATTCTTGTCTTCAAAAAAATTATCTAGAAGACCCAAATATTTTTAGGATCCAATCCATAAAATACTAATTAATATAAGACTCTGGATATGATCAAATCACCCTCCAATATTGTATTAGAGTTAAGGTTGAAAAAAAATTGATATTAAATGTTCTCAATTGCTCATATTGTTCATATTTCAAGATATCTTTCCATAACCATTCTATATTAAATGGGTGATCATGATCATATTTCAAACACATGTTCTACTTGTTTTGTTAGGAAAATATTTATGTGTGATATGAGTTACAACTTAATCAGTTGTATATGTCAACATTAAAGAGTTTGACTTAAGCTTTTTTTTTTAATTTTAAACTCTAAATATTGCATTAGAGTCAAAGGTTCAAAGATATTTGATTTGAACTAAGGTTGACAAAGGAATGAGTCAAAAATTAAAAGAAAAAGGAAAAGTTAGATGTTAGCTGTAGTCAAGTGAGTTATATAATAGGTCTGTCAAATTACAGTTTTACTTACCAAATACTATTAAAGGGGGAAGATGATGAACCTGCAAATGAGTAGAAGATATTAGGAAAACATGACTTTGATATCATGTATTAGGTTTTATCAGTAACTTACTAATTCAAACTTTTAAAGCATATTAATTTTCAGTCTATGTATGGATAATCTTGACCAATTTGATTCATGACAATCACAGCAGCAGCACAAATACACCAAAAAGGCATTCATGATTCACTAAAGCAGAAAAGATGCCTCTCTCTCTCTCTCTCTCTCTCTCTCTCTCTCTCTCTCTCTCTCTCTCCATGCATTTTCTCAAATGCACACACCTGCAAAAGATGGGTTCACCAGCAATGCAGGTCAAAGATCTAAGGATTGAAATATTCCATGCATTTGTGAACAGTTCTCTGCACAATAAATTAGTTATTGACATGGATTTATACTTTATTTCAATAGTTTCCAAAAGTAGGTTATTAGAAGAGGAAAAAAAAGAAACTTATG